GTAGCCTACCTTGAAACTAATCGAATTTTTACTTATTTTGGTACAGAACTTGAAATACTTATTACAAATTTTTTTTTTAATCTATCAGATTTTTATTTAATCTTTCGTGCTGCATTTCAAGCTGCATATGATAAATTTTTATTACATATTCCAAATCATCCTACACACTCCTTGTTTCGTGCTACTCATATTTTTAACCCAAAATTTATTCAAATAGGAAATGTTGAACAATGTAATATTTGGCAATATTCAATTATTCGTGAATTAAATAATCCAACTGATGATTTAATTCATTTATTGTGGGTTAAAATTCGATAATAGTTTAAATGAAGATAGATTAGATATATATTGGAATAATTTAGCAACCTGTTTACTATCTCTTTCTCAAATTGCATTTAACTATATTTGGTTACCCATATCTAGCTGTGCTGTTAAGCATAGTTTTTCTTTATATAATACACTTTTAAATATTAACCATCAGGATTTGTCTAAAGAATCACTTAAACAACTATCTATAATGTACTTTAATCGAGATTAAATTATTACATATAGAGCTTTCTTTATATAAATTTATATATTGAAAATCAATTAGAAACATTTTAGTAATAGAAAAAACAGAATGCATACATTAGAAGTAGTAAATAATAATAATAAAAAAAAAAAAAAAAAAAAATTTTCTAAGTAACTAACTTATACGTAAGGATTGATATATAAACTTTAGATCAATAATTGTTTGAAGAACCAACTATTGGATCTAAAATGCATCATCATAACTGTAATCATCAATATAACTAGAAGATCAATATAAAGACCCAAAATAAAATAATTTTTATATTTTTCTAAATTTTTTTATTTTTTTTATTTAAATTCGCATATAGCTAAGACCCAAATATATATGTAAAGTTTACTGAATTTACGAATCAGAAATCAGAAAAGGCTGAAACTTAAATAAAACAAAACAATAACAGCAAAGCTTTCGAAGCAGCTGCCGATTTGGATAATGCTAATGGATTATATAGCACTGAACACTGCTATCAACATAGACTTGGAACTGAAACAGATAAGGCATTCATTTATCATTAGCCAGCAGATATAAACTACATTGATGAAACATACAACTCTAAATATCACTATCAAAATGAAATTGGTTTTGGAAAAGATGAAAATAAAAAGATCAAATATGATAAACAGTACTATAATTATTAAGAAGAAACTGACCTCAAGAAAGAAATAAAAAATCCACAAATAATCGAAAAGCAGCCAAAAAGGCAAATTCTAATAGGCCATGTATTTTTGAATATTGCTATGAAAATAGAATTGTAGTTGAAAAGAGTAAACAAATCAAAGCAGAAAAAAATAAACAAAACTATTACTAGCAATTAGCAATACTGATGTACATTGTAACCATATTATACATACAACATATAAAAAAATAATTTTACAATACCAGATAATTCTGCTAGTACATGTTATGATTATAATTCAACTCCATTTTTACGAATAAAAATGGTGTTGGATTATAATCATAACATGTACTAGCAGAATTATCTGGTATTGGAAAATTATTTTTATATATATTGCACATCATGTAAAAAATTAGTCATATAATATCAATGGTCTTATTTGTAGACTATATTGTTGTTTTTTGCAAAATTATGTAGTGAACTTAGAAACTCTTTATGAATTTTGTGATATTACAAAATTATGTGATTTTATGTGAAATTTTATGATCACAAAAAATCATCATCCCTGGGTGAGGGTGAGGATTTATAGTTAGCTTCGGGTTAGAGTTAGAGTTTTTTATATTAAATAATTTTATAATACTGTATTTCCACCTATACTAAATAAGATTCAAAACAATTAAAAATTTATATATATATATATATATATATTTTAACTTTGACAGCCTTGCCAGAGCTCAATACAAGCCACTTTATTTAAAAAATTAGTAACAGTTAAACTATTCCTAAACTAAACAAGTTTTAGTAAAAAAAATTGCAAGCTTGATATTTCATAGCTGCAATAAAACATGCTATCAGTGACTTGTCACACTGACTTGTATACAAGTTAGATAGACTTTGTCAGCCCATTAAAAGCTAATTCCTTCAATTTTTCTTTTTTTACCAAGAGCAAAAGAAAGTAGTAACTTTATACTAATACAAAACTATCTATTAATGAAAAAAAAGAAATCTATATCTACAAAAAACAAATTAAATGAAAAGAAAAATTTAAAAGAAAACAAAAGAAAGTGCAAAAAAAGAAAAACAAAAAGAAAAGCCCGAGAGCTAACAAAGAGGAGAACCACCTCTATCAAGAAGCAGTAAGCAACCTGAAGGTTGAAATAAAAAGAGAAATGTACTATTATAATCTGTGCTAAGTTAAAGTAAAAATTTTATAACAAATATAACAATTATATATCTCTAATGTAAAGTCTAAATGTATACACTGTCTGACTATTGACTAACTTCGGATACCTTTTTAACAGGAGACCCTGGTTCAAGTCACGTGAAGTAGCACTGTATCTACAAGTAAACAAGATACATGGTTGTATTTTACTAAGTTTGTTTGAATTTGGAATATAAACAATGCCGATCTTTTGAAAGAGGTAAGCCAAATCCCCACTTTTTTCAAAATTTTTGGAAGACCAACAAAAAGGTAAAGATAAGTAATAAAGAAGCCACTTGAAACAGAAAAAGAAATGTGGTTTAAGAACAACATATAATTTATTGTTTCCTCTGTGTTCTTTTTTGAAGTAATAATCTACAAGCTTTGTTAACAATGCCAGTTATTGCTAGTTTTTTGTCTATCACCAAGATTTTTTATACAAAAGCACCTCCTACTAGTTATCTTATATAATAATGCTCTTGGCTTGCATGCCAAACGTTCTTTACAGAGAAGTCTCTATATAGCAAAAAGTTGACCTCTAGACAAACCACCAGTAGGCCATGACTTTTCAACAAATTTTTTATTTTTCTGTTAGTAGAAAATTCAGTTTAAGTGATCATCAGAAAGAGTTGATTTTGATTAATTTATGTCACAAATTAAAATGAAATCAGATTAAAATGAAACAGGGAACCTCTTTTGCTCCTCTTTAAAGTTTATAAAACCCACTTATACTCTTTTATTAATAAACCTAACACTAAACCCTAACCCTAACCCTAAAAAATGTCCCCCAAAATTTTTTAAATCGTCCCTAAAAAATATAAAAATTTCATTTTAATCTGTCACAGTTATTCTTAATGATTCTTAATTATCTTTGAGTTGAAGCAATAAATATTACACACCTTCCAGATCCCCAACTAAATACTTGTCCTGTTTGAGTCAATGCCAAACAATGATTTTCTCCACATACTACTGTTGTGAAAAATTGGTCGATCGTATCATCAACTAGTGTAATCTTTTCCGAAGAGGCCTGTTCAATATTCCAATTGTACAGTTTTCCATCCACTTTAAAGGTAAGTTTTTCTCAAGTCAAGTTTTAATATAAAAAGTTGTTGAATGACATCTTGTTATCTTACCTGTTACCACAATTATAGCATTACCGGTCCAAAATTGCGAGACATCAACAATTTTTGTGTGAAAATGACTAATTTCATACATTCCCGAATGTTCCCTTTCGAAGTGTATATTTCCATCAATGTCAAGAAAACCTCGGATGCCATTGTCATTACCAAAACATTTTTTTATTCTTTGCTAAGATTTACGAGTCGGAGAAATTATCTTATTTTCTACAGAGTCAAAACCCATGTTAACAATACTGTTGAATCATTCCCATTTTTTATAGTTATAATAAGAATTAGATAAAATTAATTAGACATAAAATTTTTTAACAATTTTTGCACCTTTTCGCCCAAAGTTACGTTCATATTGGCCCAAATTATCTTGTCTGCGAACTCCGTTATATCGATTGGTAAACTGATGATTGCATCCTGACTTTCAGGGTGAGTTTGTCTAAAAGCATTATAACCAATCGCGTAGATTTTTGACTTTTTTGTCATTTAATAAAATCTAAATGTATTATCATTATGAATACAATCATACGTAAATAATTTATCACTGCAAAAAAAAAAAAGTCTGTTTGGATCACTGCATAATTCTCAGGATATTTATTTCATCGGCATTCAAAAGATTACGATAATACATGCTTAAATTTAAACTTCATCATAGATAAATAATAAAAATAATAAATATAAATAATAAATCTTATATTTACCATTTAGATGTTTGGACTTTAGAGCCTTTGGAAATTTGGTGTAGAAATTCCGATAATCTCTCATTGTTACACGCCGCCTATCAGAAAAGTGCGTCTAATTATTACATATTTGGGATTCCGCAGTAATTTTTATAAGAAAGTTACGCAGATAGTTTTTTTTGTTCTCAAAAAAAATATGGTTTCTCTAAGCGGAGAAAGGCGTTCTATTCCTAAACGTAATATTAGAACCCATTCTTGTCGCCCTACTTTTGTACTTTCTTGCTTGTTTGCTTTATTTGTTGCTTTTATTGCGTATTTTTGGTTCTTCCAACCAGTAAAACAGTCTTCTTCTCCGGAAGAAAATCTTGTTGTATGGATTAAACATCCTCAACATACCGACCCTGTCAAAGTTCACGTACCATATAATGCCGACGTTGCAGACGTCAAGAAAGTTGTAAAACAAGAATTACAACCTGCACTTGATAAAGAGAGTCTTGGCAATGTAGTGATTTTGAGCCCAAAGCTTGGTCGACTAGATCCTCGCACACTAATTAGAAAAGTTGCGGTGGATACAAATGAGCATTTAATTGTTTTTGTGGATAATCTCGGTAAGTTTGTCATTACTTATTATCTCTATAGTTATAGTTTCAACCAATTATCATACAAATTACTTTTAGTTCGTTCTTTTCTTGAAATATATAATGGAATTACCAATGTTACGAAATTTATTACACGTTTTCTTTAGATTCAAAACTATTTCTAAAGCGGCTCACTAATGATCAACTTCCACTACAAGTCAATGCTCCCTTATGTCTCATAAACGATGAGGCTTATATAGTCGTGGTAAAAGTGCTCATGGGGCAATATTCGCAACAAGATGTCGTCGCTTTTAAAAACAATCTTTGCGACTCAAGCATTGAAAGTTGGAGTTCTAAATATTCGTATACTAGCCGGTAACTATAACTAAAGTATAACTTACTTTTTTCTTTTTTTTTAATTGTTTCTTTTTTCTTTTTTTTTTTTTTGTTATCAAAGAAAAAAAAAAGGAAAGAGATATGCACATGATAGATAGGCAAGTCAAGATGTACATACTACAGTGAAGTTAATCACTTTTTTGTAGTTAGAAAAACAATGCTGATATGTTCAGCCTTGACTTCCTATGGCTTTCGAAGCAAGATTTATATATAATGGATAAAGGATAAATTTTTTTTCTGGAATATTGTTAAAAACATTGCAAGTTAATAATTTGATGATTTAGCAATAATGCTTATATTACAAAAAGCAATGTACATACTAAAGCACGCATATTTTAATAAATCATCATTAATCTTTTCTGCTTCTTAAGCTTTCTACTTTAATAATAATGTAAAATCGTTATCGTTACGATTCAATTTATCTAAATTAATCTATAACTGAAAGTCATCCGAAGTAGTACCTAAAAATAGAAACGCATTGATTTTGTGTACACTTACTGATCTATGTGTCATCCGACGAACATTCGTTCTGATTGGCTAATTTTCGTGACTTAATAAAATCTTATTAATAAATGTTACGAAAGTGATACGTAACGCGCATCAATTACGTAATAAACCCAATTCTTCGGAGTAAGGTCCGATACGTTGAAAACTTAGATCCTTCGTAGAGACTCGTAAAAATTTGGAAAATATAGGATTTCCAAATCCTACACTCAGAACTGATTAAAATTGTGTCATGTCTATCTATAATTGAAAAACCCAATTTCTGATAAAAATTACGTAAATACTGGTACAAACTAAAAATTTTTCCACTCTCCAAGACCTCTTTAGTCTTGTCTTAAGAATCATATTCATATATCTTTCGAGATTACAGTTGTCTTTGACCAATTTTAACGATAGTGCCATTTTTCAGAGATCTCTGGAAATAGCAAATTTTGGTTCTAGAATTTATGAAAAAGATGGAGTGTGTGAAATAATGGACTAGATTTTGTGTATTGTGCGACCGTCAATAAAAACAAATTGATAAAAAAATCTTAACTCTTACAGCTCAAACTTTAAAGATACAGTATCTTTAAAATTTATTGAGATATAATTGTTTAGAAGTGTCAATGCCTGTTTTCTATTGATGGGATCGCACTATTTATATCAGAAGACCATCAATTATCTAATTTGTTTGTTTCTGTTTTTAGCTCCGGGCTTCTTCAAATCCAACGAATTCATAGAATAGACAAAACTTTATATCAGCGAAACATACATACTGTCCTTTATTAACTATAGAAATTCTATTTTTAATTAATACTGCTTTTGCTAGAGACGTTACTAACCTTGAGATACATTATTAAATCATATAATTGTTTCTCATAACGTAGCCTGGTCAGTTTTTGTAAATTTGGTAAAAGTCATTTGCTATAAATACTTCTGGGTGAGTTTTTGAAAAAAAAAAACTTAAAAGCCAGGCGAGTGGGTCTCTTTTAACTTTGGATGGCCTTGATTGAGCAGTCGTATATTTCTCCATTTGTTTATCTGCTATATGAAAAAAACATTCATTAATTATAAATTTTAAATATCGTTATAGTGAACTTTCGATATAAGTGTAATGAACAGTTTAAGTGATTTGTTATAGCCATATATTTTTTAACTATTATCACCTTTTTCTATTACAATCAATACTAACACATCTTTAATGAGTTAACTTTTTACACAATATAAAACAATATAAGTTCTTTAAGCTTAAAATACAATAAGTTAAACGGCTTTAAAATTAACCATCATAACCGTTCTTTTTAATCATCTATTTTTACATTCAATACTTATATATAGCTAATATAGATAATAAATAACGAAATCTTCTCTTCTAAGTGAAGTCCTACTGATTATTTTTACTATTTTTGTAGATGAATAGATATTCTTTCAGAGTTAGAAATTGATTTTTCGTTAGCTGAAATATTACGTTCTATATAAAAATCCAATGATAGACGATTTGCAGGCAGCTTCCTCAAATTTAATACGTGGGAAGTAAAATTTTCTATACAAACTTTGTATATATCCGGTTATATTCTGATATTCAGTTAAAAACTGTATATCGACTAGTTTATGACCCGTGGTTTTGCCACGAACATTTTATATACTCCTAATTAGTGATGGGACTACTAGGTGCTAAAAATTCAACTGTTAATCTATTAAAAAAATTTGATCTTTTATAAATTTGTTGAATGTGACAATTATCACCTTAGCATCGGTGGTCTCATCATTACTCCTAATATTAGCTTAACTGTTCACTTGTCTATAATTATCACCAACTAAACAAAATTTGAGATCAGATATAACAAAATCAATTGCGAAACTTTTTTAGGTTGATGACGCTTATCAATCCTTATGTTATTCGTCTGCATGTCAGAACATGGAAAAAAATTAAAAATCAAATGTCTGATAGAAAGTTATCCTGTCGTCGGTAAAAATTGCTCGTATAATGTGTTGTCTGTTATATTTAAATGACAGCAGATAGTATTTATCTCATAGCGTATCAATCAGCGGCCTTCATGGTGTTATAATCAGTGGATTAAGCCGGCTAAAAGTCACACGATAATAATAATTTGATTGGGCTATGTTCTCAGAAACTAGATCCAGTCCGTATTTTTTACTTAATGTCTGGACACCAAGAATATACGCAGATACCATAATGTTCTGGGTGTTATTTCAGAACACAATTTAGAGAAAGTTCATAATTAATTTGATCAAACATTCTTTTTAAGTATCCTCATCGATTTATTTGTTCTCCAAATTCTGTATCCTGAATTACAGTAATGCCCTGGAACATTGTTTTGGTATTGTATGTGATGTTCAATGAATATTCAATGATTTTTACCGATCCGGATATTATAAAATTATCCTCTTGAGTACTAATGTGACCAGATTTGACGTTTTCAATGTTCTCTAGATCACTAAATCCTTTGAGAGCATAAAATTATTAAAATTTGTTCTCTATTTGAGTGTCGCCAAAAGAAAACCCGACAATTTAAATATAGTCTATATTTAAATTGTCGGGTTTTCTTTTGGCGACACACAT